ACAGTTACCTAATCAATAACCCAAATTTTCCAAAATTCACAAAACCAAAACCCCTCTGTCAAATACAAAGGATAGCATGCTCTTCTTACTCACCTTTGTACATATCAACCAGTGAATCCTTCAGTTCCTGTTTGTGCATCAATGACAGCTGATGCAGCTCCTCCTCACTCTCTGAGCTTTCCCTTAAAATCAACAGAGGATATGCATCAATAACTTATAGCTGTTATTCTTGAATGCTAGAGCTTGAGCTCAGTGTGTTGAGTGAGTTGTGGTCATATGTTTACTAGCTCTCAGTGTGGGTTAGACTAATCTCTTCTGCAACGTCCTCATGAGCTCAGGGCTCACATATCAAAAGCTGAGTGTGTGTATGACCAGCCCTACAATTACTTTCCTTTCTGCAAAAATATCAAAGTAGCTGCAACATTCATAATGGATGGGTTTCTATGACTGGGATATTCCATATTACTCCAAAGCACAAGGGTGTGATGACTAGTAACTCTATGATGATATGGGATGGGTTTCAATATTTCTTAGCATGCAATTATTCATGCAGATAAGCTGGAAAATTGGCAAAATAACTGGCAGATCCTGACAACCAGGACTGTGATGAAAACAGTCCAATGTCCAGTCAAAACTCGTGCAAAGACCAATAAAATCAGCCTAATAAAAAACCCACAATACCACAGATTTAGAATTCCTACGATTTCCTTTTATTTTTATGTCTTGTTAATGCAAGTGAGGGGTATTTATATATACATTTATATATGTGAAAGCGGTTATTTATATTTCTGGCATGACAACTCTACTGTACATGGCAATGTTAATGTGTTTGGCATTTTGTGCGTTTACTGCTGCGGCAGAGTAGGTACCGAGACTTGCTACTGCCAATACATCCACAGACTTGCTGCTGTGAGCATGTAAGAAATACTGCTGCTGCACATATAACATATATAAAATAACATACATGAAATTACCCCATTGCAGATCTACACAGGTGGAACTGGGGAAGGTGGAGGGTTTCTGAAGCATGCTGCAACTGCTACAGCGAGCACTAGCCATGTATTTGAATGTTGAGCAGCAAGCTCATTGGCTGCTGATGTGCAAAGAAACAGCTGCGCCACGTGAATAATGATGTGATTATATCAGATTGAGTTAGAACCTATAGGTCTGCGCCATCTAGAGATTCATGACAGAAATTTGAATTTGTTATATTATGTCATCATCAAAACTGTTATCTCTGCAATACGTGTGTTTACTAAGTGTGATATTATTAGGGCGTTCTAAATCAACAGATTTTGTGAACTTCTACAGATATACCCTGCTCAGTGTGCACTGTGCAGGGACCCTGTGAGTCAGAACACATGGTGCACTGAAGTCTGTTCAGGAAGTTGGGAAGTCATAATTACAACATCAGATGCATTCAAGTCACTTTGGTCAAAGCAATATGGCGATGTACCTTTTCTGATGTGACTTGAATGCACCAACATTTCCACTGTCCTGCAGAGTCTAGATCCAACCTTAATCAAACACACCTCAACCAGGTAATGAAGGTCTTCAGATTGCTTGAAAACTTTGCAGAACAGAGAATTAGCCGGGTTTAATATCCCTGACGTAGGCCTAAGTATAACAATGTTAAACATTGCACTTGCTTTTAAAATATTTTGTTATTAAAATATTTTAAACAAGTCTAAAATATTTCTTTAAGTTTACCAATGTACAAATGTCAATTAAGTCAAAATTAAAATGTCTAAATGTCACTGTGATTACAAAATCTCAAACCAAGTGGTATTTATTTTAAAGAAAGCTATAGCACAGCCATGCAGTTTATGTAATGAAATCCACCTGTGGTTTCTCTGCTAGGATACCTGTGGGAACTTGAGAGGATAATGGTGATTCAAGACATGTCGGAAAAATCATATATCACATGAAGCATTTGTATTAATAGTAAATTTGTTCAAATAAAGGTCATTTGTTTTACTGTAAGTGGGAATAATCTTTCCATAGTATTTTGCATCTACAATAGAATACATAATTAAGTTTATAGCACTTTAATAAATTGGATAAAAACAAAGAAAAACACACCAATTTGCATTCTTTATTCATCATTTTGTAGATGTAGAATTAAACAATTCTTGTTGAATTTTATGTAGAAAAGGTACAACGCCATTTAAATCCAACCAAAGTAATTTGAAAGTAGCCTGATGTCGTAATTATGATTTAACAAGTCAATACGAACTATCCAGGAGAATGTGAATACACTAAAAGCTCTAGCATAATTTATTTGCAAGTTCCACTTATTTTGATCTTTTATATCTAATAAAATGTAATTCAGTCAATTTGAACTGTGACTTAAATGTCCAAGTGCTTTTTAGGGCTATATTTCTGTACCACTGTTTTCTTTAACCAGATTCAAGAAGACCTTCTTACAACTATATCTGAACATGAATCATTTGAAGAAGAAGAAAAAAACATACAAGCAAATTAATAAAACGCCAACTGTCTTCATGACAAACCTAAAAGTTACACACTTTGGTCTAGAAGACAAGACGATGGCTATCAGTTGACATTAACAAACTGTGGCATACAATTTCTGTTAAATAACATCATTTCATACTCTATAAACACCTTGCTAAATGTACAATATATACACTTAAGTAAAATCTAGATCCCATGAGCAATATGCTTCTGTAACCTCAGATATTTCCATTATGTCTCATTATGTACATCAGTGTAACTGGTTAATAATGGAGATCCCATCATACTCACTTTATAGACAGCTCATTCTCCAAAGTTGATATTTTGTGTTTTGCCCTCTGAAGTGCACATTGAACATCCCGTGCCATGCTTCTGATATTCATGTATGTGTTAGTGTGAGTAGTAAGCCGGCGTTTTCTGACTGGACACTGTATACTTCATCTCAGCTTGCATGCAACATGATCCACGAGAGGAGACACTGGCTGTGTCTCAAAACCTAGTGAGCTCCCCATCTACATAGGATATACCACCATGGTTATGTTTTTAAATTTGTGATTTTTTTTGTATGCATCATGTTAATGTCAAAGTGTTCTTTGAAAACACCATGATATATTAATACATGATAATGATTTAGTTACGTTGGGTTATATGGGTCAATGATAAAGGATGTCTGAGCTGAATTTTTTTAACTTGTACCATTTCTCAATGTGTAATTTCATAAAAAGGTCAAAATATGTGATAAAATAATAATAGTAATAATAATGATTATGATAACTTTAACACTGTCATAAAGGTGTTAGGGTCCCCTTTGCAAATTATACTATAGATATTTAATATGATATAACATAATAATATTTAATTTAACACACAAACAAACAATTACTGACTATTCATTCAATTTTAATAGAAAATATACTATCATCCTTGCAATAAGAATCAAGTAAAATAATCCAGAATGATCATTTGTTTTTGAAGTTAAATTTATTTTGAAATTAATATCACTCTACAGCCATAATTAGGGGTGCTCTGAGGTACTCACCCTCATTTTTTAGGCATGACGAAGTGGATATCCTCCTCTTTTGGAAGGTCAAACAAAGTAGTATCGCTTTCAAAACCAAACACACAGCGTCTCCACGGCATGGTGGCGGCAACAACAATAAAGTGAGAATAAAAGTTATGCTTTCTTTCTTTGCGTGAACATTTGGGCGGCGTTATGCAAATCTTCCCACATCGTGATGTAGACATGTGGGGGCGTGTTAGAACGAGCCTTTAGGTAGGCGTGGCTGACTCTGAACTTTTATAAAGAATATCTCTTTGGATTTGAGACTTTAGTCTTTGCAACTTTACAGATCTTCTTTATGCACCAAGAGCTTGTAACACTCCAAAGAGAAAGGAAAACTTGAAATCACATCATATGACCCCTTTAAATAACTTCTAAAGTAATTTGAAAACCTTGCGTGAGACGTAATTTCACAAACAGCGTGAGTGTATCACCGCAAGCACACTCTCTCTCTCTTTCTCTCTCAAAATACGCAAATGGCTTCAAATCACCACACATCGTGTCTGTCTATAAGCGAGCTGCACACTGCACAGTTGACACGGGAATTGTCACTTGCACAGTTGAGGCAGTCACATCGTCACTATAGTTTATAAATTGCATTTCTTTTTAATTCTTGCCAGTGTTTAACCATTCAGCGCTCGCGTGCTATGTGGTTCATATTTTTTTTTTAAATTCCCCCGCAAATTACCTACCATATTTCGCCGAACACCCAGATCCTGTGATAATATTAGTCCCGTGCGAATCGGCATCTCTGTGATTCAGCCAGCATTTGGCGGGTCGTATATCATTTTTCGAGGTTTTTGTTTGCCTTTTTATCCATCTTTCGCGAAGAATGGAGCTGCGTTGGAGTGTTTGATAGTATTTTGGGTGCTGTCATCATATCGCTACACCATACAATTTGCAGAAAGAGAAAGCTGAAAAGGTTTTGAGGTTAATGTGTTACAAATAAATCAAGCATAAAACTTGAGATATTATTTTAACCTGGTCAAATGTAAATGACACAGCGCACAAAACTATATTAGTTTCTTTTTTTTAAATCCATCTGGACCATAGAACGGGACTCTCAAAGCCTTGACATCCGGGTATCCGGGAGACAAGTCAGTAAATTTGAGTAAAATCACAGGCTTCGCTTATCCCGTGCGAATGCACCACCCGAAATTCAGATGTGGGGGGGTAATTTCAAAATCACACAAGGTCCTCAGATAATACTAATCCTGTGCGAATATGGCTTAAGAGGGGAATTCCCCCCATTTTCAAAAATGAAATTCAGGCC